GCTGAGTGTCCCTTTCAAACATTTGCATTTTGGTTCTTGTGGAAGAAGGTTGTGAAATACGATGTGGTAAACTGAGTGTGAGTGAGACCGTGTTGAATCCTATTGATCGATAACAGAACGCGTCATAGCTGACGAGGAGACAGCTCAAACCCTCCACTCTGGAATTCTCACCGTTCCAACTCGATTGATGGCACATGTGAATACACTGTTAGCAATGGCGGCGTTCCTGGCTTCAATAGGCCACATTGGCTCACTGTATCCAAAGACAATCAAGAACACAGACAGTACAAAAGTGATGAAGAAAGGCGCCGTCTCCGACTCAGCTTCATCTCTACGGGTGCACTGCACGAGTCAACATTTGGCGAGGCATTTAATTAAAAGCTAGAGACACTTGACGTCTGTGCAGACTGTAGAGGTCAATTTTCCAGTACAATAACTGAGGTAGTACCGTACTGACTGCTACAGTGCAAAGTGACTGCTAACCTCAAAGCGCCGACAGTTGCCGATGGGTTGAAGATGACCTCGGCGCCATTCATTGCATACATCATCCAGTTGAGCGGGTGGTGTCGACCGTAGCAGATGTTGATGGCAATGCGACCTGGGTAGGGGATAAAAATCGGACAGGTGCAAGCTCTAAACCCATTTCCTTCCCAGGATTACATTGCACAGCATTTCTTGAATAAAGGAAGCCATTCCATCCCCCAATTTAACGCCTAGGCAAGTCAGCTTACAGTCAATTATAATGACAGCTTGACCACACCGGGGTGCAGTCGGTCGGTGCACAAGCACTGACTAACATGTATAGCACTGTGCTGCACAACATCCCTGCCCGTATTGCCAGCAGTTCTCCAGGGACAGCTAGTTCAGGCAGTTGGTAACTCACCGAATTCAGTTTGGAAGACCTTGTGGCCCGTGTCACCTTCAAAGTAGTATGTTGACTGTGCAGAACGACGGGCAGGCGAAGAGAAACAAAACAAAAATTACACAATACGTGACAAAAATGATATAGCGTTGACACCATGCCATCAGTACGTTAGAAGCAAATCCTAAGAATGCGAAAAAGTCAACAGAATGAATCAGTCTGGGGTTAACAAAGTGGTTCATTAGTCATGACCCCAACAGCCCACAGCTCCCAGCCCCCAGCCCCCAGCCCCCAGCCCACAACAACAACAACAACAACAACTCTTATTGGCAATGGTGCCATCGTGAGAATAAAGAATTCAAAACAACAACAACAACAACAACAATTTTCTCTTATTGGCCACAGGCCATCGTGAGAATAAAAGATTTCAAACAACAACAACAGCAGCAACAACGTGAGAATAAAGATTTGAAACAACAACAGCAACAGCAACAAAAGAAGCAGCAGCAGCAACACCAACCTACTTCGTTAAAGTCGCCCACCCTGGGTATGTGGTTCTTGCGGCTCTTTCCCATCACGACGCCGTGGTTGTCAATCACCACAGCCGTGTTGGCCAATATGTCCATGTTCTCCGAGTCACGCTCCAAGATAGGTGAGATGATGACCATGTTATGCTGCTTGGCTAGCTAAAAAGTCAAATAGAACGAAAAGAACAACACCATGATCTAGAAAGCCTTTGCCACATTGGATGGAGTATTCAAGACGGAATAGCACTCACGGAACACAATCTCTGTGAACGGAATAGCACTCACGGAACACAATCTCTGTGAACGGAATAGCACTCACGGAACACGATCTCTGTGAATCAAGCTTTTATAAGCAATTGCAGCATACATGATACCCAATGCTACAGTCTGATACATGCTGGTGGCTGGAAAATACTAGAGTACACTCAGCACTGCGTCAGAGTTCTAAGTTGTATCATGTCATGAATCTGCCTAAATTACAAGATCTGACTAGATTTTTTAGCTATACCAGTTTGGTTTCCATTGCCCTCGGGCAGTTTTGTTGGAATACAGCAAAGCTAACAGGGCACCAGATTATATATATATATATATATATATGTTATGTTATGGAATCGATCCAATCGAATGTACCCAGCAGGTACAGAGTTCTAGCCAGGTCAAAAATAGTGTGTGTGTGTGTGAAGGGGGGGGGGGGGGGGGGGGGGCAGGGGACACAGTTACCCCGTACCCCATTTACCAAAAATTGTCTTGCCATGCCAAATGCAACGTACGGGGCGAACCCCCGACTTGACTCCAGACAAGTGTGCCTTTATGAACCCTCTAGTAGTGAATATTCACTGCATTTTCGTTGAATGGCATTTAAAAAAAATGACGCTGTTATTAAAATCGAAATTTGAGTACATATTTTCAGTACTCCATGGCCAGTACATGTTTTATACAGTAAACCTGTCATGGTGATCACCAGTCCCGGAAGACAACTGCAACCGGGACCGAGGGATGCTGCTTCCAGTCAAAAGACCACCTGGTAACAGAGACCACATTTTGGAGGTCCTTTTAGCGGTCATCCTTTCTAAACAGGTCTCACTGTACAGTCAGACCTCGCATAACCGCACACATCTGTTTTCCACAAAAATATCCGGATAGGCGAGGGAACCGGATAACCGAACACTGGTTATGTTGGATGCACCATGGATGCTGTAAATCTGTAACCAGCTATTTTCTTCCGGATGGCGAGGGATCCGGATAAAAGAGGACCGGATAAGCGAGGTCTGACTGTACATGCATTCGGTCGATACACCGGACAGACTAGTCCAAGGATACAAAAAGTTAAGTTACCTCCTGACAAAGCTTTGTGGACAGGCCATCTTCGGCAGACTCGGCCAGTTCGACCCACGGGTACTTCTCACGCGTGCAGAAGAAGAACGGAGTTGCTACATGCCACACAAACGCACAGACACATGCACACAACTCGGCCATGTGCAATGCTGACTGAGATTAAATAAAATCTGGGTAGTGTAGGTACCATCCATTGGAATGCTCCATAATAGAGGGCATAAAACATACTTTGAAGGATTTGAGAGCGAGAGAAAAATTCTATGTTGCTTCAATGTAAGAATTCTCATTACAACCTCATCTTTCACCAATGTGGTACGAGGCTAGCTGTTACACTGCATGCCGGCATCACCAAAATGAAATACATCTCTGAACAGTGTGAATGGGGCCTGGCCTATTTAATCTTAAGGTAGAAGTGTTTGTGTCTTCCAAATAAAGGTGGCATCTATGAAGCTACAATTATTGTAGCAGTCACCGCAGGCTGCACACATCGTAGGCTGGGCTTACACGAGAAATTTAAAGTTGAATTTTTTAACCCATACTGAAAACTCTCATGTAAGTCCAGCCTTAGAGTGCATGGGTCTATTCAACTGACTTACTCCATGCTTCCTGAAAGCACAAGATCTTGACGCCGGCCTGTGCGGCACACTCAGTTATCAACTTGATTCGCTCATGTATGGCCGCACGCTGTAATAAGAATACACAAAAAACAACAAGCAAGACAACTTATTGAGGCTATGCGATAACGTGAGACAGATTTTCTTCCACCGAACCTTGTGCGTGGGAAAGCTCTCCAGTGCTGACCAGTAAGCACCCACATCGAGCACTCTGACCTGTCTCTCAAAGTTATCCTGTAATCTCCTCAACAAACAATTTGAACCAGCTCCTAAAAAGAGCTGAATTTAATCAGCGCAATACAAGTATTTCATGCATAACATGCATGGCCACAAATATTTCTGGACTTCATGACAGGTTGTTAGACAGCCATACTTACACGGCAGGCAGTAGCATACGTTCATAGAGTTCATACCCCTCACGTACAGTATAATTATACCTGACCCCTCACGTATATACCTGCTCTTGCAGTGGTGCCGTGGTCGGCTTCACGATAGCGTTCTGGATCAAGCCGATTTTCACGAGACGAGGCGAGCGGATCTGCTCTGGCGGTGCCGCAATGCGATACGCCTGTAATGCAAAGTTGTGATCCTTTGCCGATTGGTGCGCCTCTTGCGGTAGCTCACTTCCTATGTCTCTGCTCACAAACACAACACAACACAATAACGCAATAAGCAGAGAGCACGACTCCCTGGCCATAAGCCACTGCAGATAGTGAGATAACCCAACCCCTCAGGCTCTGATCCCTGACTCCCTGGCCATAAGCCACTGCAGATAGTGAGATAACCCAACCCCCCCCCCCCCCCCCCCCCCCTCAGGCTCTGATCCCTGTACGTGTATTGGCCACTTGATGACATGAAGATTACTATTCAATAAGTTCCGAATAGGGCATCCCACATGCCTTAAAATGCAGGGTGTACTTATAGTAATACTCTACAGTGCACCTTATGTTTCTCTACCGGGAGAAAGACCGTGCTTGGTTTCACCCTCACTTCCTTGTATTGGCTATTTTCATTATGTGCCATGAAGTGCAGACAGTAAATAAAATGAAATAAATAAACCAATGGCAACATTTGCTGCAGAACAAACAACTCTGTATACCGTATTTTCCCCGATAAATGTACAGTACTTTTATATTTTCAAAGGTGGTCTGACCTGTACTAGTATTGGAGACGTGTACTTTTATTGTTTCTGGAAAGATTGATTGCCTGGGTTGGGTGGTAAACAACTCGTGATAATGATGCTGAAAGGCTGTAAATACATCCAACCATGGTAAGAATCAGTGTACAGAGACACAAAGATGATGAACGGGTAAGAAAAACGAAGTAAGGTGGACCCTGGTATCTGTACGCCAGTAATGCCCATCATATCATTCCGGCATGTACTACTATTAGAGACGTGTCCTTTTATATTTTTGATCCACAGTCAACATGTACTAGTATTGGAGACGTGTATGTTTAAGGGAAAATACGGTTTATGCACAGTGAAACTAGGATAAGACGTACCCCCTCGGGGAATGGGAAGATGTGCGTAGTATCCGAGGTATTTCTTATCCAAAGTTGACTCCTGTGGCCCCACTAATACGATCAAGAGTCCATAAACAAGAGTATGCAGCTGTGATCTCTTTTCTATGGGCCAGATGCACGGCGCGCTGCCTTCATTACATCATTCAGCTGCAGTCTGCGCACTGCGGAAAATCAAGCACCGCACTCTCCCTCTGGTTTGAAACGAACTTTCGTACGGAACTGGAGTTCACTCGCCAGAATTCAGAGATTGTGTAGGTACTGGAACGAATCGAGCAAAAACGGATGGGCTTGTACGAGAAATTGAGAGTTTGAATGCATGCTTTCAGAGCGTGATGAAGGCAAGTTACGTAATGAAGGCAGCCCGCCGGCGCCGTGCACTGACCCATAACCACAGTTGCATACTCTTGTTTATGCACTCTTGATACGATACATGTGTAGTTTGCATGCTCAAAATCATTTATTGCACTCAGAAATTTACGTGGTTAGTGTCACCAAACCAGGCTTCCGTTTGCTGAAAACAGCCTCTTCTTGTCAGCATACTTCAGAGTACTTACTACTCAAGCACCTGTCAAGCGATCCTGTCATGTGTATGGGTGCATAAAAACACAAAGTAGTACGCAGTATGAGAGGCCAGCTCTGTTGGGACCTGCTGAAAAGACCGTCACACGCGAGTTGTATGTTTTACCACAGTACGTCGTAACCGCACACATTGTATATGCGCTTACGGGAGGAAAATCTGTGTGACGAAAAAGGACCGTACTAAGCAGGTACATGCCTTACCCGGGTACGCACTAAGTGAGTTCCACTGTTCGTACTACTAGAATACAATGGCATTGCTTGGGGTTGAGTCTGGCGGCAAATCCTACGGGAATACGGTTGTGGACAGCAAAATCCAGATCTACATACACGCTTAGCGCTGCAAAACGACTTTGACCACAGTGTCTGCGGTCGGCGACAAATGCGAAAATCGGTCCGGCACTGAATAGAACTGTAGTATGACTATACCATAGAGGCTTTAGTGTTTAGTGTAATGTACCACCACGGACCACACAACATCTGTATGATATAGCGGAGGTACTGTATATCCAAGGTCAAATGACTGGTACAGCATAATCCAAAGCCCTCAAGAACAGTACATGCACTTCATATTCCATAGTACGCCATGTCATGGACTTAAAGTGATGGTGTCAAAGACAGTTAAAGATTTTGTTGGTCGTGTTTCGGCGGGGGCATTGTTGTCCCTGCCGAAACTGAATGCAAGTTTAAGAAAGACGAGGTCTAGTGAGTTAGGATCAGAAGTGCCCTGTGGGTCTAGCCCTCAGCTCCTCTGGGGCAAGCGCAAGCCTGAAAGTCCGACGGAAAGTCTGCACTGCATTGCGGACGCGAGCACTGATGACACCTGTAGTCAGTCAGGCGCGCCGAAAGTGGTCCGCAAATTGGGCAGCGCTGCTGTAACAGCTAGCGCAAACGACTGTGTGCACCAGGATCTGGTGGCGAACTTACAAGTGGTCTTCGCGGATTTCAAACAAGAAATTCGCCAGACCTCAAGACGATCGCAGAAGAACTGGTCCAAGCTCTAAACAAACGCCTCACAGCTGCCGAGAAGCTCCTCGCGGAGCACACTATCGAGCTCAATCGTCTCAATGCAGAGACACGCAAGCTGAAAAGCATTGTAGAGAGACAGGTCCAGCATGTTCCAAAAATCGACGATGGAGCTCGTTCCGCCATTACGGATCTTGAGAAGAAGCTGCATGACGTGACGTCTAGACAGCCAGACGCCACCACTGATGCTCAACAGCAATAAATGGCAGGTACTGCCAAAACCGACACCGCAGACGTCTCCCTCATACGGGACCTGGTCGAAGAGGCAAGTGAGCAGCGAAGACGTGCAGATAATGTGATCCTGCGCGGGATCACGGAGAACGCAGGTGAAGACCCGAAACGTACTGTTTCTCACCTGGTGCCGGATTTGGACACCAGTGATATCCTCGCGGCAGAGCGCATCACTCCCAGACGCCAAACGGAAACATATTGTCATGATCTAGGCCTCCGTAAGATAGTAAATACCCCAACGAAATTTCCCAGCCAATCCACTCTGGCCTTAGTCCTAGTACCGAATACACTGCAATACCTCTCACCTAATAGTCAAGTACACACCGACCTCTATCTCCATACCTGCTCAGTGGAACTGTGCGACGTGTCCGACCACCAACTTGTAACTGTACAACTATGTACCTCCTCACTACCAATCGTACGCGCCCAACATCACTTCTGCACTCGGAAACCACCCATTCGCACACTACCTATTTGTGAATTCCAGACAAGTGTAGCTTGACAAATGGACAATCTAAAAACTCACAACGATGCTGTGTCGTTCTGAACTTGATAATATTCCACCTTGTCATGAGTGTTGGTATCTCATTATCTTTACGCTATATAAGTTTTAATCTTTCCAACTTGAGCCATTCCCTGTACAATCCTTGATGAGAAGGGACCGAAAACGTTCGGATACTTTATGACAAGTGACTTATTTGACTGGATGTGTGTGTGTTTTTGCGTGGATACTTGCGACCTAAAACTTACCTTCGTTTTTCAAGTATTATCCGCCTCTGACCTCTTTTAATTTTTTTTAAATAATATTAATGTCCAGAGTACTACAGTCGTCCCTCTCTAATCTGGCACTTGTTTATCCGGAACCCTTGCCAACTTTCTGACGAAACCGATTTTTTTCGTTCAATTCCTACATCTTAATCCGGCACTTGAATTCCGCCTCCGGCAGTGACTTTTTGAAACGAATCGCTCAAACTGCACGTAGTTTGATTTCATAATCCGGCAGTCGTAAATCGCGTACCGTACTGGTGCACTCCTTGCCAGGCCAGGCTAGGCCAGTCTGGTCAATGTTGTCCAGGAGACAACGGCTAAGCAGTCAACCATACTTTCTTATTTTAGCAAGGAGTAGTGTCCTGCCAATTTTCAGGTGTGTGTGTGTGCGTGTGTGTGCAAGAGTACATGTGAACATGTTCTCTGTTTTACTTTATCACTTTATCACTGTGTATATTCCTGGAGAAAAGTTGAGAATATAAAGCCGTGCACCAAATACTTGGGTCGACACCGAAAAACCCTGCGTTTTGACGTATGATACATGCATGCAATTGGGTAGGGTCGGGTCAGAGGGCAGGATTTCTTAATCCAGCAGAAAACGCCGTAGCAAAAGGTGCCGGATTAGAGAGGGACGACTGTACTATGTTATATCCAGACTCTAGAGTGCCTTACACTCTAAAGTTTCACTCTTCATGTACTGTAAGTAAAAACAGTAAGTACGGACCCCTTCGCCAGGCATGGACGGTCTCATAATAGAGAGGTTAAGTTACACGCTATTTGAATTTTTTTCAAAGCGAGTTGAAAATCACGTGCGACTGGACGTGAAAGGTAAGATTCGGGAATTGTTCGAAAAGCAGAATATTCTCAAAACACAAAATCAAATCTTCCAACAAACCCGATCGAACTGCGGATACATTGCGGTTTTTATGCATGAAAACATCGAAAGACTGCCCCTGCATCCTGGTGGAGGTCTTCTCTCTCCAGAGTCTGTACATGTGAGTAGCAGGCACATTATTTGAGGACTGAAGTGTATGCATTTCATGGTGTAAATTTCCTTTTCACTCTGTCAACCCTCTTCTTTATGAAAAATAGGCAGCTTTTTGGCAGGCAAACCGGCCGATTGGCAAATCTACTTGCAAGTTCACCAAAAATGGTCGCAAAATACCCACATTTTTTTAGCTTTTCTTCCGGGATTGTCCCCGGGGACAGGATACGATACTCACAAAAAATCGAAATACTGACACAGATTCGATCGGGATGACCAAACACAACTTCCAAAACCCACGTCACGTAAGGGCGCGTTCAGACTACCGTGAATCCCATCAAACCGTGAATGGCGATAAACTGTGAAGGACATTCACACTATCGATAAACTAACGTTACCGGTACGTAAGTTTTGCAGCTCTCACCGCGGCACTGAGAAGGGATTTTCCCTTTTTCCCAGCCTGAGCACTCTTTTTACTGCCGGAAAAGTTCTACTGCCGCAGCAGCAAAACTTTTCCGCCGGTAGCGTGCCAGTAACGTCACGTGATCAAATCACCTTGGAAACTTTCCCATTCCGTCACTTTTTATGGGTAGTCTGAACGCACCCTAACTACGCGTGGTGCAGTCAACTCACGTCGAAGACATCAAACTTTACGTGAGCTTTTTTTGAAATTTTGACGTAAAGGTTCACGGGCGTAATGACTTCACGTGAAACCTCTCTATTGTTTACTTTGGGCACATGTGATGACAAATCATCTACAAGCAAGACATGGCTACTTCGTAAGAACCAGGGAGTCGTACCCCAACTAAGAACTTAAGAAAATTGTTGAAACTATTCACAACCGACAATGGGTCACAGCACATCATAATACGCTTTTATATACATGTAGTGCTGCTCAATGAAATCCAGTCGCGTCCCTCAAGTACGCGCCGGGCGTTGCGCTGTCCTAGACCTGCGCACACTGGGTTGCAAAAAGTGCAAGGCGCGAACTTGAGTGACGCGACTGGATTTCATTGAGCAGGACTGCACATTGTACAGTGTTTGGTGTATAGGTAAGCCTTGTTTGGTAGAAAAACATGTTGATTGGTTGACAGCATTACACGTTACAAGGCTTAACTGATGATGGTTGCAGTCAGGAGCACTGTTTTCAACACAGTGCGTCCTCCGAATTGTAACATGCTGTCACCCAATGTTATGTTATGATAATGTAATAGCATAAATCAATGATTCAAAAGCGATGGAATAAGTACGTACTCGACGGGGCGGCCATAAAGCACGCGCTTAACTTCCTTGAGCTCCTCTTCTGGCAGATACTTTTCTAGTGCTGCTTCAACGCTGTGATTGGCCAAAATAGAAGCCATGCCGAGACCTCTCAAACAAGACCCTCGATGTTCTCCGGCTGTTGTGGATTCAAAGCCAATAATTAAAACTGTAAACTAATGTTACTTCTGTACTTTGTATTGGATTATCAAAGCAGGTATTGTTCAGACTCATGTCAGCCTACTCAGTTTTGCTCGAGCTCCTTTGCCTAACAAGCCAAAATCGCTGATCATTGACAGGCCAGGAGCTAGCTAGATAGCTGTGCATAGCATTGTTGCCTTGTACTGTGTGGTAGATCTACCGGCGCCGGTACCGCGGTACCGCGGTGCATGGTGCAGCTGACATGTGTTTTCAAATATTTTTTGTTGTTGACCTCACGATCACGTTACCATATTCACGTACATGTTCAACTGATTCAAAGCGTATCCACGCGTGTCTATGGCAACTTTCAATTCGCGCCATATTTAGGATCCATGCGCAGACTCCAGGTCACTTTAGCGCTCTGCTCTCTTTTTCAAACCGGCGAAAACTGATTTTTCGCGAAAGTTCAGCAAGCTTGTTGTGAAGTACAAGTTGACAGAAGTAAGCGCCTTTGTAGTTTTCTGCTGGCTTCCTTGTAGAAATTTGGAAATGGCCACGTCCGAAGAACCAGCTGTTCAATTTAAAGTGAGTTGTCTTCCCTTTTGTCGAAGTGAAAGGTCTCTTGTCCGGATTCGAGCTTGATTCAGCAATAATTCTGACCCATTGAAATGTTTGAGTCCATAATTTCAAAACTCTCTACTTGTGTGTTGTTGTGCAATTGCAGTGTGTACTTGTCGGTGACGGCGGTACTGGCAAAACCACCTTTGTCAAGCGTCATTTGACCGGAGAGTTTGAAAAGAAATATGTTGGTATGCACAATACGTCGATTGTTTTCAAATCATGAAATCTCATTCACTGAGTGAAATTGAAAATTGAATGACTTTGACATGTTTTCATAATAATACCACGCACAATTCGAATAGATAAATCATGGAGTGAAACTTGGGAATATCGTTTTCTCTTGGTTAAAGGGGAAGTATACCCTAAAATCAAATTTTCACCAGTTGTAGTCTTCTGGGTCCTGAGTCGAATGGTCTTGGTCCGAGGAAGCTGAGACGCTCCCTTCCTACTTGAATCCCAATCGAACTCGCGCACTTCCACCGAAACTGGGTGACTGCGCCCTACTAGATGGGGATTTGTATGCAAAATGTCACTAAAAGCGCCATTTCGTTCTTATAAAAGCACGGATGACCGCGATTGGCTCATATGTTGTAGTCTTTTGGACGCTGAGTCGACTGGTTTTGGTCCGAAAAGGCTGCGATGCAGCGTTCCTCCTTTATTCCCAATCGAACATGGTTGAACAAGCGGTCACGTGCTCCTGGGTGCCCAAATCACCTGGTCACCGCGCCAGCAGGCGACAACTTTCACACCAAGGTTCAACTCGAGTTCAACTCGAGTGACAGGACTGCACCCAAAAAAGGTCAAACAGGCTAGTAAGTTGTACCCTGCAGGCACGGTGACCAGGTGACTGGTGTACGCAGGAGCACGTGACCGCTTCTTCAACCATGTTCGATTGGGAATAAAGGAGGAACGCTGCATCGCAGCCTTTTCGGACCAAAACCAGTCGACTCAGCGTCCAAAAGACTACAACATATGGGCCAATCGCGGTCATCCGTGCTTTTATAAGAACGAAATGGCGCTTTTAGTGAGATTTTGCATACAAATCCCCATCTAGTAGGGCGCAGTCACCCAGTTTCGGTGGAAGTGCGCGAGTTCGATTGGGATTCAAGTAGGAAGGGAGCATCTCAGCTTCCTCGGACCAAGACCATTCGACTCAGCACCCCGAAGACTACAACTGGTGAAAATTTGATTTTAGGGTATACTTCCCCTTTAAGTGCATTGTTATGTTGGGGGTGACCTGGTGTCAATTACAGGGCAACTCTGCCCCTCCATAATAATCACTGCAGCATAATCACTCTCCATCATAAGAGCTGTCTGCTACCGTCAAATCATTCGACCTGTTTGTTTCGTACAGCCTGCAACTGACTTTAACCACAAAATGCAACATCACAGCCAACCCAAGTCTGCGGGTAATTGGAAAACGTATCACGCATTCTCCGAGCACATAGAATTTCAGTGCGGCGACTGTTAGTTCATTAGCACTGAAAAGATCAACCCCTTATGCATTCTCAAAGCACATACAGTCAGACCTCGCTTAACCCTTTAGCGTGCATGGTTCGAAATCGAACCATAGTGACTTGGGCGCTCACGCATGTACTCTATTTACCGTAACTCACTCAAATCTCAACCGAAACTCAAAATCGAAACATCTAGCAGGTAGCGGAGAGTCTCAAGGCCGGTTCACAATACAACTTCTTGCGACACGGCACGCACTTTGCGACAAGAAACTGCCTGTCACGAGCTGTTGCGTGCAGTCGCAAGGCACCTGTCGCAGAAGTTGAAGAAAGTTCAACTTTTTCCTGTCCCCACAGAATAACGCGGACGAAATCTATAATTATGCGGGCGAAAACAGGCCCTTATGTGGCAAATATGCGGTATAATGCGGTCATTATGCACGAATTCTCTGTCATTTGTACAACTTAAAGGGGCACTCCGGGAATATTTTCGGTGGTGTGTTCTCTTCATGGGGGCCTTATATGGCCCCCAAGGAATGGGGAATCGCGAAAACTAGACCCAAAAAGTCGATATATGAAGCCAGGGAGGGCCAAGTTTGTCTCCTCTTTTGATGGTTTTGATGACGTCACGTGTGATTAGTATTCAAATAATTCTCTGCATTTGAAGATCTTAGTTGTTTGAATTTTCTGGCGATGAAGAACGATGTTTGGTCGACATTCCCAAGCTTCACAACTGCGGACATACTCTAAGGAACCTGAAGGACCCCCTGAGGTGCCCCTGGTAGAAGCGCAGCCTGATGAGGGCCAGGAGATTGGAGCGGACGACTTCACTGGTCCGAGTACGAGGATCCCGAAATTCTCTATACGCCGTGATGCATATGGTCAGAACAGTTTTGTTTAGACAAGCTGACGCGAAGTCGGGGTGATGTGTAACGCATGTCAAAGGGCTGCCAATGCTAACAGCTGCAGCGCTCTCTCGACAGCGAAGGTAATCGACTGCCCTCTGCATCACCCCACATTTCTGGCAGGAACACCAATCGTTATTTCCTTGTCGACCAGTGAATACGTCCGCTCCAATTTCCTGGCTCTCATCAGGCTGCGCTTCTACCAGGGGCACCTCAGGAGGTCCTTCAGGTAACTGGTTCCTTAGAGTATGGTCGCTGCAGTTGTGAAGCTTGGGAATGTTGACCAAACATCGTTCTTCATCACCAGGAAATTCAAACAACTAAGATCTTCAAATGCAGAGAATTTGAATACTAATCACACGTGACGTCATCAAAAGAGGAGACAAACTTGGCCCTCCCTAGCTTCATATATCGACTTTTTGGGTCTAGTTTTCGCGATTCCCCATTCTTTGGGGGCCATATAAGGCCCCCATGAAGAGAACACACCACCGAAAATATTCCCGGAGTGCCCCTTTAAGCATGCAGTTTCTTGCAAGTATACAACTTACAAACTCATGCACCGGTACGACTGTAGTACATTTTCAACATCATGTACTATTTTCTTGTACATTTCCATGAATAACGCGGGTTTTACGCAAAATCTCTCGAAAATGCGGATGACAGCCAATAACGCGGAAAATTGCGCGTCCGCGGAATCGCGGTATCCTGTGGGGACAGTTTTGCGACGTGCGACATACACGAATGGAGTACAGTTTCTTTCTACCCTGGGTGCACGTGCATAGTACTAGTGCATAAGGATATCGCAAACATGAAAAAGATTGTGAACCGTGTGTCGCTGTCGCAAGAAGTTGTATTGTGAACCGGTCTTCAGCTGTCAGCTCGAAGAAGTCCCAGCTCGCTACGATGAAGTTTGAGCGAACCGCATGCGATCGAACTTTCATGCTTTTGCGCTGAACAACACACAATTGTTTAGCGCAGAACAGAGATTTCCCTGTCTCTGCCACGGCTGAGTGTGACATCACTCCCAAAGAAGATGGCCACAGATGTATGGCATGTTCCCGAAAAAATTGACTGAAGGATAGTCACGCGGCAGGACGAGCGTGCTTGGCGACTTGACTTGGAGTTATTGTGGCGCTTCCGGAGTTGTAGCGGCGGACAGTGATGGGTCCTCTTGATGAGTTTGGGACCGTTGTTCTCCTCTCTCCAAGGGCTTTCCAGCGAGCCCAAGATCGTCAAAATCGGTGAAGTACAACAGACTGATGTTATGGTTGAAAAATCGAACGATTAGTAATCACATTGTTGCAAATTTCGTAGCGTGATTGGACCAGTGGCACTCGAAAGCCAAAAGGAGGCTCGGACCACCAAACTCCAAAAATTAAGCATAGAAAGTTTTTTTTAATAATCTTGGGAATTTGTTCCTTGGGTAGTGCTTATGTTGATTGTCTAAAAAATTTAGGGATCACTGATATGTTTGGTGCAGTATGAGGTGTTTTTGGAGAGGCGTTGAAATTTTGCCATTTTCAATAAGAAAAAAGCTGTTCTGTTTCCTGTTGAAGTGTGCCGTCCTCGGATTTTTGAATGTTATCTATGCAGGCCACAACTATGACGCATACACATTACACACCATTGATAATTGTATTATCTTAGGATATTAAATGGAAACGAGGAAAACGGTGGGGCACAAGTTATGTGTTTAGAGTCCACCAACTAAACCAGGTTTGAACAGTCAGATGTGCACAAGGTGGCACCAGACTGACGAGGAGTATTGAGGCATTCTACGGCAAGGAAGTGAGCTCGAGCACTGCTCGATAGCGCTAACCAACAGCCTGCCAACTTAGAAGGTTCATGGATATTAGCAAGAGTAGATAAACAAGAGTGTGCAACTCCGGATCTCTCCTGCACAATCTGCAGATACCCCGCGCCCACGGCGGAATTTTTTGTTTACGTCACCTTTTTTCAGAGAAACGCGGCTTTGCCGCAGAGCAGTGTGAGAGCACGTGCTGGGCACCGACCTTGTAGTGTAAAGCCCAGCCAAGTGCACGAGGGAAAACTCTCCAAAAGGCTCGCAGCGCGTGCGTCGTCGAAAAGATTACGTCAACAAAAAATTCCGCCGTGGGCCAATCCATCCGGAGTTGCACACTCTTGTTTATCTACTCTTGATATTAGTGATAATTCCAAAGAGGGGAAGGTAAGCACCATCAAGCCGAACACAAGCTACATTCCAGTCTGACTGTTCAAAACCTGGTTTAGTTGGTGGACTCTAACGCATAATTTGTGCCCCACCGTTTTCCTTGTTTCTATTTTAATATTTTTCGTTGGCTCACCATCTGAGTATTTACTAGTACTTAGGATATTTCAACCATTTTCGCAATTGCAGAAATATAGTGCAGATGTGTTTGGATTCTGCACCATGGTTCAAAAATGGAACCTGTATAGAGGTTATGCGAATGACGTCACGAGGAGCGCCAAGGCGGCTGCGAGTGGCAGGGGTGGCAAAATGAAGTCGTTTCTGCTTGAACTATTTTTTACTAGTCTTTGAGAGGAAAAGTAAAATTTGTTGTTGGTTGTCGACATATCGTTCCTCACTTTTATTTTGATTTCCGCTGGTGTCTCGCTTGCTGAAGTTTTTAGCCTTCAACATGCCGAAGAGTTGTGCAGCCGTCGGATGTAGCAATCGTGCCGATCCTGGAACGGCTGTGAAGTTTTACAAGTTTCCTGTAGCGGACGAGCGGCGCAAACTATGGGTTGCGGCTATGAGACGAGAGAATTGGAAGCCAACTGACAGTAGCAGGATCTGTTCAGACCATTTCGTAGGCGCAGAGAAGAGCA